TAAAATCCAAAAGTTAAAATAATCGTTGCAAAGAAAATACACTGAATCTTGCTTTTGCAATGCAGTAACTGTTACTGCAGTATTCGAACTATCTTTGGTTCTCACTTTTGTTGTTTGCAACTATTCTACAAAGAAAAAACTAGGGATATTATCTTTTAAAACCACATTTTGTAAACCACATGATGTGTCGGTGATAGTTGGATTTCATTTTTAATGATTTAAAAAAAGAATTCAACTATTAACCACCATATCATGTAGTTTATATAATATAGATCTAAAAAGATGGTGATAGGGATTTTACTACTCATGTGAATGGGCTAAAAACTCCTATTATACTTGCAAGAATAACAAGGTTGTTGTAGTATAAACGGTTCTTGCAAGTTCATTCTCCACAGGGATTATTAAATAATTCGAAACAAACCAATTTTCAATTAATTATTGTAAAGTAGAAATTTAGGTGATTGATTTTATAACCTAATTAAAATAAAAACGAAATTAATAAATTAAAATAAACAAACTGCAATATTAGAACTAGCAAGAAAAGAAAACAGTTTTGGGAGAATCAAATTAAGAAAACACTAGGGTTTCACCATTACCTAGCAATCCTATGAACTTTTACCAATTACTTATGATCTACACATGCCACTTTGAAGGTTAGATTTTCCTAATTCATATTCTACTTGGAACCTCCAACATAGAACGTATATCTAACATGCAACCCGTTCGGACGTTCAGATCAAATATGAACATGAAAAACTCATTATGCTTTATGAAAACTCTTTGAAAAACCATGCAACCCTTAAGACGTGGTGTTCATCCTAAGTGAAATTACAATTATTAATCACAAGAAGCCAGCGTCAATTTCAGAGAACCTTCTGACCAAAATTGCATCAAATTACTTTTCTAAATATCCTAATGGTAATCAGGCATTAAGACAATTAGATAGTTTTTATCCCGGTGATTAACAATTCAAAGTATACATGCAATCAATCACAAGCAATTAAATAAAAATCACATATTCATGCTAAGGCTCAAGGCTTCGCCCTAGCAAAAGAAATTAGTTACACATATTCATAATTGAAATCATAGATAATATAATTAAGAAAATGATTGAAAGCACCTTCAAGTAGAAAATCTTCAAAACCCTAGCAATTCTCTCTGTCTCCAAAATTGCATAAAAGAAAGCGTAGCAAAAAAAAATGTGGTAGACGGCTAAGCCATATATTTGCTAAACCACCACACAAACACTAATCCCCATAAAAAAAAACATAACCCTAAATAAGAATGGTAAAATTCGTCCAAAATCTGAACAGCCACGTTTTGGACCCATAAGCTGCTCCAAAACTGGCCCAATATAGCTGGATTTAATGTTTGAAATATTCTGAACACTTCTCCAGAAGGCCACGAACCCATCCGAGGTCATCTTGGGATCCAAAAACGCAATTTAAGCCCAAAAACGTCATTTTCCAACATTGCGCATCGCTCCTTTATTTTATCGTCAGAAAATAACCGCTTGGTGGAAAAATCTCAAATTTTGATATGATCAAGCTAAGTGACTCACGAACGTCCTCCAACTGGAATTACTCCAAAATTTGTTCATTTGGTCCTGTTTTGCTCCAGAGGAAGTCGAAAGTGCTATATTGAAAATAAAATTCAAAGTATCAAAATTCTTCCAAAATATACTAAGATTAGGGTAAAATATATAATATAAAATCTAGTCATCAAAATACCCCCAAACTTAGCTTTTTGCTTGTCCTCAAGCAAAACAAAACTAGAAAACAAAAATAAAAACTTAACAAACTAAACAACTAGCTAAAATTAGCTAACAAAAATTTTCACCTTCAAAGTTGCAATCCATAGCAAATTTTATAAACTAGAACATCTTTTCAAAAGTTCCAACCAATCCCACCACAGAGTCTAAGCCATTTAGAATCAATTAGAAAAGAATTCACAAACTTCCTTTGGTGTAAAGTGAACCAACATAGCTAAGGAGACTCGACTAAAATCATTACCTCTTGTCCTTCTTTATTTCTCACACATACTAACTTTAAATATAACTATTTTTCTTTTTCTTTTTCTCTTCAATTTTTTCTCTTTTTTTTTTTCATATATAACAATTTTTTTTTCAGTAATAGTAGTGGTCATGCAATGTCGGTTCACTTAAACTTTCGATCCAACCCATGTAGCGAGCTTTAGGTCAATGACTCCCAAACCACTAGGGCTTTAGGGCACTAGGTATAGAACACCCCTAAGGACTTATTAACCCGAGCTGAAAAGACTACGAAACCAACTAACCACCCTGCCCCATGCCAAAACTCCATCGTTTGACGCGAGAATCACTACTGATTAGGCAGGACTGGTCCGGTTACTAGGCAAAACCTCGAGTGAGACAATTATTACTTTATAACACAATAATAACTGACTTTACTTAAAACAAAAATTAAAATAAACTTAGACTAAAAGTAAGTGTTTCAATCTCACTCCCCACAAACCATGTTGGTGTGATGTGCAAAGTTCAAAGTATAATTCATGAATTAGTGTCTAAGCAACGATAAATAGAAAAGACTCTATTGTGGGATTAATCTTCACCATGTCCATTTGTTCTAACGTTTAAAATAATTTATGGATATTAACTTAAAAAGAATGAAAATTTTTAACTAACACAAAAATTAAAATCCTAAAATGTTATTTCCCAACCCCAAACTTATTTCACACTTTGTCCTCAAGGTGTGGAAAATAAAACAAAAGCACAATAAATAAAAAAAACACAAGCAACCTAATATCGAAGTCTAACAAACTTCCCTAAAAAACAAAATTATAAGAAAGCAAACATAAAATAAAATTAAAAAAAAACTCAAAAGAAACCCAAAACGGAAATAAAAAAAGTGACACACCTGGGTTAGAATTTAAATCCACTGGGCAAGACAAACCTTGGCCTGGTCAAGATGACACACGGGGCCAATTCCAAATCAGCTGGAGTGAAGCCCAGCCCGCCAAACAAAGGCCCAAAAAGAATGCAATAACATTGGATTCCCTTGAAATGAATGGGATGCGGCTGGCATCCTCGAACACCGAGCCGAACGGCTCTTCTCCCCCTTTAATTCAAACCGAGTCTCTTGAACATACATGGGAAAACTCCAGCTGTGTACACGTGGCGCACATCACTGCATTGAGCTCCTTAGGATTCCAAAAGAACGGCCAGATCACTTTCACTTTTCTGAAGGCTATGTAAACCCCAGGTCTCTCGCATTTCAATAGAGACCGAAAGAAGTCTTTCATTTCTCTCAGCCCCCACATCTCTTTACAATGAAAAATAGATCTCCAAAATGGAAAGAGTTTGCCTTCTCTCGTTTCCATTAGACCCCAACTCTCTTTAAAATGAAAACTAATTCTTTCCCCCACATTTTCCCCTCATTTCCACAGTTGCTTCTTCATCCTTGCTAAACGTTGCATCCGTGCTGCAACCAATAGCCTATCTATCTACACACCTCCGTGTTTCTCGAACGCAACCATGGTGACGTGAGTGGAAAAGCTGATATGCAGGAAGGTAAATCCCTACTCAAATCTTGTGGTTTCATTTTCGGATTTATGTGTATGAGTGAAAGGCAGCGAGATCTAACACATGCATGACGTTTTATCTGTGTGAGGACCCCCAATAGTTGCAAATCCGAGCCGATCTACACCACGCGCTTGTCTCTGCGGAAACCCGAAACCCTTCAGCTTTTATGTGTAATTCGTTTGTGGGCACATGTTCTCGATCTATTGATATTGAAGGTATAACACGCATCCCTACACTTGTTTGAATGTCAGTAGTAATTTCATCAAAAGTTCTTCCAAAAATGTTAGCAAACCTTATCAAGTATATTCTTGTTTTACCATGGATTAGACTAATAACATACGGACTAAAATTAATATGACGAAGATGGACTTAAAGGAATGAGAAATAAAAACAATTCATCTGACCAAGAAAAAGGGAAAACATAAAACATGGAGGACTCTAGATCTGATGAACAAATAAACAAAAAGGATAATACCTGCAGACCTAGAATGACTTTCACAATGTTGTGTGTTTTAAGTGATATAGAACCTGGATCATGAAAATCAAAGTGTCATTAGTCTTTCTGTTGTGAACTGTGCAGGACGACAATCTGGTCCCGGAACAAAGGAAGAAAACAGGACAGCTCGGACATCACAGATCCGCTTCCCATACGAAGGTAAAACTAGTCCGGGGTTGGGATGAGTTTGATATGTAAAAATGATATTTATGTCCTAGCATGGTTTCATTGTGTTGCTCTGTGTGCAGGGAATGCGGATCCATGATAAAACCGATGGGAAGGAAAGTGGATGGACACACATCAGCTTCAATAGACAAAACGGCACAAGCTTCCAAGAGCCCAGATTAGTGCATCTAGGAGGTAAAATTTCATATCCTTGCAAGTTGAATTGTTGTAGATCTGGTAATAAGAGTTGTACTCAGTTCTGTTATGTATGGATCTGTGATTTAACTGTGCTTCTCCTCCATGCATCGCAAAACTGAGCTGCAGAAAATTAACTGCCCAAAATTATGTTTCTGTGCTAGATCTGCAACAATCACCCCCAAACTTGTATCTGTGAATGACTTTATGTTGACTGCTTTAAATTGCCAGCATAGTGTAGATGTGGGTGATGTTAATGTAGATTTGCTGCTGGGTGCATGATTCTAGTATAGGATGCTCTTTATTTTCCACGTTCACAACATGCCATTAACCAAGATGCATTAAAATAAAATAAAATCAACTAAAATCAACCTGCAATTTTCCATTTTTGAATTTTTCGTTTTTTATTTTTTTTAAATCTTTATGTGGTTTATATATATATATATATATATATATATATATATATATATTTTAAGTGAAAATCAAACGAAAAATAAAATTAGGAAAGAGTTTAGAAACATTGGGTTGCCTCCCAATAAGCGCTTTATTTTAAGTCTGTAGCTAGACGTTGCGGAAGTCCGGTGGCTAGATCACTGGTTCTTTCAGAGTCAAAGACTTGCTTGCACCAAATTTCCCTATGCATGGTTTTAGTTGATGTTTGGTAAACTTGAATGAGAAATCTGTGCCCTCACCCTTGATGTCCACATTACCATTCTGAAAAACTTTAGTAACTAGAAAAGGATCTTTCCATCGGGACTCTTGTTTCCCTAGAACTAACTTGAAACTGGTATTCAGCAACCACACCTTTTTACCAGGCTGTATTTTTGCACAACTTGGACTGCTTCGCAATTTTTTATTGCCCTTGACATTCAAATGTTTTTTATCAATCTGGTGGCAAATCACATTTTGAGTCTTTATGGGCAGCTTGCTAGTAGATGATATGGTCACAAAATTGGCATGTGGTAAACCATTTAATACATCAACACGTATGCATTCTTGCTTGTCACCTGAATGTATGCTTGCTTCAAACAACTTGAAAACAACAATTTGATCTTCAAACCGGAATGTTAATGTTCCGGCTTCCACATCAATAAGAGTTCGGGCTGTTGCCAGGAATTGGCGGCCCAAAATGATGGGTGTTGTCAAATCCTCATCCATGTCCAATACCATAAAATCAGCCGGTAAATATAAATTGTCAACCTTCACAATAACATCTTCAATGACTCCTCTAGGGTAGGTAATTGAATAGTCAGCCAATTGAATACTACTAGAGGTTGGCTTCAACTCACCTTCACCTAAACGTTTAAAAACAGAATAAGGCATTAAGTTTACACTAGCACCTAAATCAATTAAAGCACTTTTAAAATCAGAATTGCCAATGGTACAAGAGATAGTAAAACTTCCTGGATCTTTTTTCTTTGGAGGCAATTTATGCAATAAGATCGCACTGCATTGTTCTGTAAGAATTACTTTTTCGGAATCCACAAGCTTCTTTTTCTTTGTACAAACGTCCTTCAAAAACTTGGCATAAGGTGGAATGTTCTTGATTGCATCAATTAATGGAAGATTAATTTGAACTTTAGCCAAAATCTTCATGAAATCTGTCAACTGTTGATCTTTAGCTTTAGGCTTCAACCTTTCAGGATAAGGCATAGGAGGCACCTAAACACGTTCTGCAGTTTTTGTGGTAGCTTCTGCAGTATTTTCGGATCTATCTTGTGGCTGCCCAGAATCTGCAGAAATTTCAGAATCTGCAAAAATTGCAGATTTAGTTTGGGGCAGTTATGCTGCCCGCGAATTTCCAACAGAATTTTCTTGTCTATTGTCATAACTTTTGCCAGACCGTAAAGTATGTACAACATTGCATTCTTCTCGTCCTCTTGGATTAGGTACTGTTTGACTAGGAAATGTACCCAGTGCTCTTTCTGAAACCTGCAAAGCAATCTGCCCAATTTGTTTTTCCATGCTTTTCATTGATGCATGCAGATTCTGGATTTCTTGACTGGTAGTATTTGCTAATTTTTCAATTGCAACCTCCCAAGCAGCCTTTGGTGCAGCAAGTTGTTGTACCAGCTGTTGAAATTGAGGCCTAGAGTGCTGATCTTTGTCCCACTTTAAATTAGGATGATCTCTCTAACCTGGGTTGTAGAAATTTGAATACGGGTCATATCGGGGATGTTGGAAATTGTTAAATGCATTAACCTACTCTGCTGTAAAATCTGGACAAACATCTTTATGTGGGCAGCTCATAAAATCATGAGTTATCATGTTGCAAATGCTGCAGGCAGCTTGTAAGGGCTGCTGTACAGCAACCTGTGAACCTGGTATTCTTTGTAATAACATGTCAAATTTTGCATCAAATCTTTCAAGTTTTTTCTCCATTTTTTCAATTTGTGCCGACACATATGGTGAACCATTAGACATCTAAAAAACAAACCTAGATTGTGGCTGCTCAACTGCCCACTGTTGTGTATCTATTGCCATTTTTCAAATAACAAACAAGCCTTTTGTGCATTTTTATCTTTGTACGAACCTCCGCATGAAACGTTGACAAGAGTTTTTGTAGTCATATTCAACCCTATAAAAAATATATGCATCTGATCAGTACTGTTAATACCCGAATGTGGACATTTTCTAATCAACTCCTTGAACCGCTCCCACGCCTCATGAAACTCTTCATTTGGTTTTTGGGCAAAAGATAAAATCTGAGTTCTCATGTCAAGAGTCTTAGAAGCCGGATAATACTTGTTTAAAATTTTTTCACTAAGTTGGGCCCCAGTACTAATGCTTCCAGATAGGAGTGTGAGGAGCCTTCTCCTCGCTTGATCTTTTAGAGTGTATGGAAATAAACGGAGTTTAATTGATTCGGCTGAAAATCCCCGCACCAAAATATTCTTGCATCCCATTAAAAATTCAGCAATATGCATGTTTGGATCGTCAGATGATAACCCATGGAATGTAGGTAGAATATTCAACATGTGCTGCTTTATTTCAAATGTAGACCCTTCCTCCATTGCCGGATAAGTAATGCAACTTGGTATATTTGTGGTATGGGCTGTTAAAGATTCATCCAAAGGCTGACCTGCCTCTGGAATAACGAATGCCATTTTTCCTTTACTGTGCAGATTCCCATAAATTGAAGACTGCAGAAAAGTCCCCTGCAGAGAAGGAACCCACTGCAAATTTTTCTCCCTTTTTAAAGTCTGCTCGAGTTTTGGATCGAAAGGAAGCAATTTCTGCACTATTGAACGGGTGCTGACCATGCACATATTATCTTTGTAATCTGCAATGTACTGCTGTAATCTGTGAAAAATAAAATAAAAATGAAAATTAATTTTTTTTATATGTATAAACAGCAATAATTAATTGAAAATCTGATTAGTAGGGATTATTTTAAATAATCCCTGGCAACGGCGCCATTTTCTTGATAGGGATTTTACTACTCATGTGAATGGGCTAAAAACTCCTATTATACTTGCAAGAATAACAAGGTTGTTGTTGTATAAACGGTTCTTGCAAGGTCATTCTCCACAGGGATTATTAAATAATTCGAAACAAACCAAATTTCAATTAATTATTGTAAAGTAGAAATTTAGGTGATTGATTTTATAACCTAATTAAAATAAAAACGAAATTAATAAATTAAAATAAACAAACTGCAATATTAGAACTAGCAAGAAAAGAAAACAGTTTTGGGAGAATCAAATTAAGAAAACACTAGAGTTTCACCATCACCTAGCAATCCTATGAACTTTTACCAATTACTTATGATCTACACATGCCACTTTGAAGGTTAGATTTTCCTAATTCATATTCTACTGGGAACCTCCAACATAGAACGTATATCTAACATGCAACCCGTCCGGACGTTCGGATCAAATATGAACATGAAAGACTCATTATGCTTTATGAAAATCCTTTGGAAAACCATGCAACCCTTAAGATGTGGTGTTCATCCTAAGTGAAATTACAATTATTAATCACAAGAAGCTAGCGTCAATTTCAAGGAACCTTCCGACCAAAATTGCATCAAATTACTTTTCTAAATATCCTAATGGTAATCAGGCATTAAGACAATTAGATAGTTTTTATCCTGGTGATTAACAATTCAAAGTATACATGCAATCAATCATAAGCAATTAAATAAAAATCACATATTCATGCTAAGGCTCAAGGCTTCGCCCTAGCAAAAGAAATTAGTTACGCATATTCATAATTGAAATCATAGATAATATAATTAAGAAAAGGATTGAAAGCACCTTCAAGTAGAAAATCTCCAAAACCCTAGCAATTCTCTCTGTCTCCAAAATTGAATAAAAGAAAGCGTAGCCAAAAAAAAATGTGGTAGACGGCTAAGCCATATATTTGCTAAACCACCACACAAACCCTAATCCCCATAAAAAAAAACATAACCCTAAATAAGAATGGTAAAATTCGTCCAAAATCTGAACAGCCAAGTTTTGGACCCATAAGCTGCTCCAAAACTGGCCCAATATAGCTGGATCTAATGTTTGAAATATTCTGAACACTTCTCCAGAAGGCCACGAATCCATCCGAGGTCATCTTGGGCTCCAAAAACGCAATTTAAGCCCAAAAACGTCATTTTCCAACACTGCGCATTGCTCTTTTATTTTAACGCCAGAAAATAATCGCTTGGTGGAAAAATCCCAAATTTTGATATGATCAAGCTAAGTGACTCACGAACGTCCTCCAACTAGAATTACTCCAAAATTTGTCCATTTGGTCCTGTTTTGCTCCAGAGGAAGTCGAAAGTGCTATATTGAAAATAAAATTCAAAGTATCAAAATTCTTTCAAAATATTAACCAAAATATACTAAGATTAGGATAAAATATATAATATAAAATCTAATCATCAGATGGCATCTCTAGTATCACCCTTACTACATTTGTTCTCATGAACTATCTGTAGTTATGTCTGCTTAATTTTGCAGTGATGTTTTCTGTAAGAACTTTTGCTCTACCATGTCATGTTGTTTCTCGTCTTAAAACGTTTGTATATATAAAGATTATCGATATTTAATATCTTTAACGGCGGCGTTCGTCTTGGACCCTAAGAAGTTCAGGACCGCAGAGACCAACTCAGTCTAACAAAACCCTAGTGAAAACAAGAAAAACGTCTTACTTCACATACTTCTCGAAAGCAACCGATCTACCATCACCAAACTCAGAAAGAAAACCAAATGCATGCACCGCCCTCAGCACCTGCCATCATCAAACTGATCTGTTTGTTTATTTACCATGGATGTATCTGTTTCCTTATGGGGGTATTTACTATGCATAAATGCTGTACAGATTGTTTTAATTTTTATGGATTCATATGATCCTTTTTTCAGATTACTGTTCTTGTTTCTGCCTGATCTGTATAAGGGAATACTAGGACATACAAATAAAAAATGTCTCTTCTAATAAACCAAGATATGAACAAAATTTAATAATCATTGGGATGTTTTATATTCTATGAATGCATGAACTACAAGCTCCTCTTTTATTAATAGACATGGAAATTATGGTCAAATTACCTAAGCTATCTCCCTAATAGATGTTGACAAGGCTTAAGAAAATAACCAATACCGACAAAATATAGAGAATCTTACTTTCATAATACAGAGAACGTTACAGCAGTATTCATATGAATTGAGAACGTTACAGTAGTATTCACGTGAAATGAGAACGTTATAGCAGTATTCACGTGAATTGTCTTTAGTCACGTCATTTTTTTGTTCTGGTGCAGCTATTGCTGTAATGTCTCATGAACTATTTGTGGTTATGTACAACTTTTGCAGAGATGTAACTGTTCTAGTTTCTATACTAATGTAACCGTAGCTGCACTGCTCTAGTTAACTATTTGCGGCTCTTGCTAACTTTTATATTGATGTAAGCGCTGCTGCAGTTTTCTCGTGAACTATTTGTAGTCCTGTCTAATTTTTGTAGTGATGTAACCATTAATGTATAATCTCTTGTGAGTTGGTTTTGATTTTTTTTTAAATATGTTATGTTGGGACCTTTATGCAACAATCTTTCCTCAACCATGCCATGCTGCTTTTGTTGGACCATGTCCCCTTTTGGTCTCTTAAATACTAATGGATGCTCTAAGAGCTTCATTTTGCAATTAACTATTTATCCCTTTATGTATATAAATTTTAAAAAGAAAAGAATTTATCGGTATTTATCTTGGGTCTCGTAAAACTTGGGCCTGAGGACGGTAGAGACCAGCCCAGTCAAACATAACTTTAGCAAAAACAAGAAAAACGTTTTGCTTCACATGCTTACAGAAAACAACAAAAGCTCCAGCTATCGTCATAAAAAACCTCTGCAACAAAGCCAAATGAATGCACCACCACCTGCTGCCATCATCAAAAACTGAGCACAAACCCCCACATGCACCACCTCCCATTCCAACTGATATAAACTCAACCAGAAATCAATTTCAGATCGACCCAAATCATGGAGCAGCAGACGGTGGTGGAAAACAAGCCCAACCTCCCAACGGAGATTATTTCCGACATCCTCTCACGGCTGCCGGCCAAGTTGCTCTGCCGCTTCAAGTGTGTCTCAAAGACCTGGATTTCTCTGATCACCGACCCCAGCTTTGCCCAAGTTCACTACAAAAAAGTCTGTGAGAATGATGAAGTGCTTTCCCAAAGAAGAAGAGTTGCACTCGTTGATCCTGGGCTGAACTCAATTTACTCTTTTGACCTCGACGAGTTCCTCGTTCGTAACGACGACGGCCGTGATTTTCTCTTGGTTTCTGAGGAGGAGATGGAGTGTGTTTACAGCAGTGACAGCCCAGAAAACTTTGTAATGTTGGTGTCTGCATGCAAGGGTTTGCTGTTTTTTGCATTGCAGAATTTGGAGATGTATTTACTCAACCCTGCAATAAGGCAGTCCAAGAAAATCCCCACACCGCCGGAGTTTGGCGTGGGGGTTTTCTCTAAGTACCTCTTTGGGTTTGGATTTGATGACAATGCTGATGATTACAAGGTCGTTTTTGGGCGGTGCTTCGAGGATGGGATTGATTTCGGTGTCCATGGGGTGAAAACGGGTGCATGGCGTGTGATCGAGGGGCGGTTTCCCTACAGAAGGATTTTCAATGACGACTCGAAGGGGACTTTGTTGAATGGGGGCTTCCATTGGTTGACGAGAAGAACCGGAGGACAAACTCCGACGATCATGTCTTTCCGTTTAGAGGAGGAGGAGGTTCGAGAAATTCAAATGCCGCGTGATTTTGTTGAGGAAGATTTTACTTATTATAGTCTTGGGGCGTTCAGGGGGTGCCTGTGTGTATCACTATGGACTCTGCAAGATGTAGGACAACATGAGTTTTGGGTGATGAAGGAATATGGAGTGAGAGAGTCTTGGACCAGAATCAAGCTCTCCCTTACCATGATCGATTCTGGCAATATAATGCCTACCCCATACCGGAAGAACGATCACGATATGTTGTTCGCCAAGTGGGTTAGCGAATTGTGCTTGTACAATTTCAATGATCACAGCTTTCTCACTCTCCCGATTCCCCAATTTCATGAACTTCGCGATGCTGAGGTCTACTTGGAGAGCGTTGTTTCGCCTAATTAGTGTCACCAAGTTGACAAAGAACATCAAGGAAAACAAGGTACTCCCATTTTGTATCCTCGCCATCTCCTGTAATTTAGATGTATTGTTACTGTGTTAGTTGCATAACGCTCATTTTTTAAATGTGTCGAGGAGATTTCGCAGTTAAGTTGATTGATTATGCTATTAATGATGTTTCTTTCTGATACATGTTCTTCCTGTTACCTGTAGTTTGCTACAGAAGTTGTGAATCATACTTTCTTTTGTTTTGATTTCATCACATGTGGTCCTGTCTCTTTCCATATGTAAAAACACGTCAGCCTCAGGCCTCAGTACCCAAATCAGAGCCATGGTCGAATTGGATGTTTAGTTTTCTCATAAACAAATCTCATTCAGGTAATCCGTACATAATAAGCCGATATCGAGGACCTTGTAGCTAAGCGTTTGGATCCATATATATCTTAGTGGTACTTGTGTTCAAAGAAAGGAGAGATGTCAAGATAGTTGGCTCTCCCCTGACAGGGACGGGGGCAGCCTCCGGGCTTATGTGTTAACAAAACATACAGTTAGTCTATAATAAGTCAAGTTTTTCTGATTCATTTTATGACTGGCTCAAATTTCCCAAAGAATTCTTAGACGAGAGATAGTAAGTGCTTTAATTTGCTCATACACTCAATTATTGTGGATGTAAATGCCTCTCAAGGTGATGGTTTCTTGTCTGTTGTTGAAGGAAACTCACTGAAGAAAATGCACTAGGGATACTCAGCAGCTTGAAGCTATGGCAACGTCGGAATCAAGTCTTCGAGGTTTGAAGAGCTTTCCAAAGAGACGATAAGCAACGAGTTTGAGTTGATGATGTTTCTCAGGCCTACTGTAGTTTACTTGTAGTGTTGTACCATGCCGTCCCGTTTGTAGGAAGTTCAGAAAACCTTATGCTACTCGTGTTTGTTGAAGTGTAAGACTCTACCTCTTTCTTTGTCCAGCAGAGGGAACTTGCTCTTTGCTTTGTATGAGTATTTTAGTTTTGTTTTCAAAACCTTTATGAGTACCTTACTTTGACCACATTGAGTTCGCAAACAATAATGCTATTCATGCTAAATTTTTGTTTCACATTTTAATACCACATGGCATGGCGAACGATAATGTGTACACGTCACGCCAATTAACGATTGTATCACATCGGATGTTGATTGTATATATCATGGTATTAAAATGTTATACAACATGTGGTATGTCTAGCATAATAGCATTACTAAGTGTTATTAAATTGTGATTCCTTTTCTTGAAATCGGCCTGGTGCTAGAACTTCACTTGGGTTGCAGTTCTAGTCAATAAGAACTTTGGCAACCATCAAAATCTCAGTGAGTGTCAAAACGCTGTCAAACAGAGGATGACGTCAAAATTGAATGATGAATGTCGAAAACAAAATGTGAGTGGTATTAAAATATTTTTAGGAAAAGTAGGTTTCATGAAATAAAACTGGAAGCATAGGTTGGTTGGTTAATTTGCATCCAAAGCGTTAGTAATTAGTATGTAAGAGAAAGAAAAATAGAAAAAGGAAACAAAAAGGTATAGAATATTAACAAGTTAATAGAACACTGGTTCCCCACTTTCTACGCTCTTAAATTTAGACACATACTTGTTATGGGTTGCTTATATAAATCTGTTTGGGCTTGAAATATAAGTTTGGGCCATTAATGAGCAATCTGAAGTAGGAACTCTTGATACTAGGCCCAACATTGGTTCTATAAGCCGAGGGCGTTGTAGCCCAAAATGATGTTAGCTGAACCGAGTTCTTATGACTGAAGGACTATCCAAGGATCACGTTTGAGCATGGCTTGGTCGAATCCTTGATGGGTTGAAACTGTTATGGATTGACAATTATTTTGATATGATGAAATTATTAGAATGATCAGAATTCATGTTTAATCATATAAGAATGAATTGAGCTCAGAAAGAGACTAGGTCCAAAGTCCTAGATTGAATGAAGAAGCCGAGACTGGATAAGGGTGTAGCTTCAGCTAAGGGAAGATAATTTGTAATATTCAGGTAAATGCTGAGGAAGCTTAGTCATATAGAGACTCTGCCTCGGCAGACTTATTTAACCTCAATGCCTTACCTATAAATAGAAGAGGCTTTGCAACAAGAAATGATCTTTAATTCAATACACAAATCAACGATGTACGCGAAACCCTCGCACATCCTGAGAAAAAACTAACGGCTTACTAACCCCTCCATGTTGGCATATATTCAGTTTGGTTAAGTATCACTTTGTCAACAACCGACAACACCTCCAGTTTGGTTAAATAACATTGGAGCACTAAAACCTGTTTGGCCTAAGAGACATTCAGTTTGGTTAAACATCACTCTCCTATCCTTATTAGTTACCTATCCAAGTCTCAGCCGGTGAAGAGTTTTTTATTCTCTCGCCAACAAAGGTCACTTCATTAGCTTTCCAACGAATTAGAGTGTTCTATGATTGGTTACTCCTAGATACATTTCAAAATTTGACATTAATTCGACATTTATTCGACTGAACAACTTTCACCATAAAGACACTTATTTTCTTTAAGTATCCTTGTCATTATAGCCTAATATTGATTCAGTGCACTTATATTTTCACTAATATAGTTGAAGTTGCTAAGCCCAGTGTAGAGGATCCTAAACTTCACAGCTAGATTAACAACCTTGTCTTCAGGTTTTAAGAACCCTATACCTAGAGTGTTCTTTCCTAGGCCTAAGTTGCTCGATCCAAAAGTCAACAGCACGATTCGATGCCACCACTACATTCATCTTACTCACCCGATTCACCTTGGTAGCGAGTTGGCATGCCCGCATCAACCACAAGAAAGACGTAGTTAGCTCTTAGTTACTTGGCATGCGCGTCACGTAGGCTTTGTTATTTTTAGGGTTAACATTTTGGCACGCCAAGTAGGACTAGTGCTAAAAGCTACGAAGTTCATGACCAACAAAACTCAATTTGTAGAAAGAAAAAAAGACAATAATGGAAAAATCATCTATTAATCAAGCAATTGTGTCTACCGGTGTAGAAATTGCACAGAACCTTCCCGTCGTCGTCACGCCAGATCCTACAGCTCGTCGAGAAATAGAAATAAATCTTGGTGGCTATACATTATCGTTAGCGACTATTGTGCAGATAACCAAGCTTGCCGATTTTTAACCCCCAAAGGGGTCGGTCGACAAAGAAGACGATGAGACCTCTAACGTACCTCTTAAAATTTTTACTCGGCACAAATTCACCGAGCATACCATGTAGCTTGACATTGCTTTGGAGCGTGAAATTGGTCGGCTCAGTCATAAACAAGATACAGCCAATCAGCACATTGAGGAAATAAAGTGGAGTCACGATGAAACTAACCATTGGCTGACTGCGTTATTCGCTGAGATTCGACAGACTCAATTAGATGCTATTAATGAGAAACAATCGCTGAAGACAGCCTATGTGAAGAAAAAGATCAACCATGGTGGAGAAGTACCTTTGCTACCATATCAGTTTGAGGGCAGTTCAAGTGGAAACAAATCCAATGTAGAATTTCCTCACGGGCCGCCACCATTGGGTGGGGCACAACAAGAATTGACGAGAATGGGGATCACATGACAATTGACATGGACGAGATTCAAAGAATGATCATCTCGGCTGTGAAAAAAAGGGCAGTTGATCTCACAATTCATCCACCCTTATCCTCAATATGTCAAGAAGTTTGAATATCCTCGAGGTTGAAGAATTCCTAATTTTAGTCTATTTTTTGGCAAATCAAAACTCTCTGCTTTGGAACATGTCGCTCGGTTCATTGCCCAATGTGGAGATGTCGACCATAACTTTCATAAGTGGCGGCTTTTCAGCTCTTCTCTGACTTCGGTCGCTTTTTCACGTTATATTAACATGTCGTCAAACAGTGCAAAATCGGGATGATTTAGTCAGGAAGTTTCATGAACAATTATACCGAGTTGGAATGAAAGTCTCGGTTTCATAGTTGGAGAAGATGGCCTAAGAACCAAATGAATCATCTATCTAGTATCTATGTCGCTTCAAGTGAGCTAAAAACTGGTGCTGGGTTCCTCTGCTTGAGCCAGAATATGTTCGGATAGCCCAGAACGGCCTCGACATGGAGTTCTAAAAGAAATTTCTAGGCATGGACTTTAGTGATATGTATGAATTGGCCAAACATGTTGGTATGACTCATTGCTTAGAGAAGAAAACGCAATCAAAACAATTTTCCCATAAACACTGTATAAGAATCTAATCGTGAGTTACACCTCAGCTCGAGACATGGGTGCTGTTTGGATCAAAACTTGAACTTTGGGCTCAAGGAAGGAGCTGGCCCGAAAGGAGGCCCAAAGGGAAAGATAGCCAGAGCCCAGTCAAAGCCCAGAAGGCAAAAAAAGACCTTTTCTGACTTGGTGCAGCTCATGAAGACCACTTGCTTACCTACCCAAAAGCCAAGTGGTGTAGACTGATCAGCTACACAGCCCATAAAGCACTTTATGGTGGCATTACATGTAAAATAGCTGATGAGTCATCACCCTCAAACCGTATTCGGGCAAGGCTGCTGCTACAAAAGGCCAAGCCGAGTTGTCTATATAAGAAGAAAGAAAAACCAGGAATAAGGACACTCAATCAAACAAACAAATGCAAGCACAAACTCTGCTCAAAGCCAGATTTGCCTTCAAAACAAAGCTGTAGTCAGCCTTCATCCCTCTCGGGACAAGCCTTCATCCTTCGCGGGATAACTCTCCCTCCAAACCTTTGTAATAGCTCTGCTACCTTGTTCAACCTTGCTGTAGTATCGATTCATCTTTTGTAATCTCTCTCTCTATCCCTCTAAGCTTTCAGACCCTTGACAAAACTACAAAGATAGGAACCTACAAGACGAGCAGCCTTACCCGACCTTCTTTGTTTTGTTTTTGTCTTTTCAATATGTTGTATACATCCAGTTATATGCAAGTTATTTCTAGCAATATGACTATTAAAAGGCTTTCTCAATACTTGAATCCGATTTGAATAGATCTTCAGTGTTCAAACCAGATCCAAGTCCTAAACCCTCGGGCATGTAAATCTGATCAGTTAAAAGTCCTTGGCCTCAAGGCATAAAAAAGAACTTTATGTGGACTTAACCCATCCACGACAGTCCTTGATAAACGAGAAGTCCGAAGTTACTTGGGGCGCAAGTAATCGACCTACCCTCTAGTTTTATTTCTATTATGTTATGATTATCATATAACGCTTGAGCATGGAGTGGATTCTGATGGAAAGCCTCAAGGCCTACACCTAAGGCCCCACAAATGCATCCATTTGGATTCATTCCGTTCTGCGATCTAGAGAGTCTAAGTATAAGAATGAACTCTGATGGGAAGCCTCAAGGCCTAGACCTAAGGCCCCACAAAGGCACCTATTTGGGTTCATTCTACTTCTTGGACTCGGGTAATCAGAAGTATAATAGTTAGAAAACTCCGGCAATCACGAGAACAAATATGATGTGTTCGAGTACTGGTTTAGTTATTTATGGGAAGCCTCAAGGCCTACACCTAAGGCCCCACGAAGGCACCTGTTATAACTAACACGGTTTCTCGG